TTGACCGTCGATGTGTGTCAGTGCGGTCAATGCTTCCTTGATAATCTTGTTTAACCACCCTCCTGGTAAAAGGAACTTCGTTATTGGAAGAATAATTCCTTACAATTCAGGGTGCCAAAAAGGAACAAAAAACAAAACAAAACAACGACAAAACGGAGCTCAAGGTCTTACTCCTTTGATGATTGAAAAAGAAGCACAACCAAGAACACTGTACGAAACATCTTATTATCTATCCGACGTGTCTTGAAATGCTTATCGTTTACCAGACTTTTCCCATCATTCGTACCCAATTCAGCTCGTTACCCATGTTATAATAGTCCTAATGGATTTCACCAAACTGTAACGGCCTCTACATGCGTCCCTACCTGAACCTCTGCATTGGCCCCAGTTGCTGTGCACCCGGGCTAATCGTGCGCACGAGCCTACGCACTCGTCCCCCACTATCTCAAATGGGTTGTCAGCGATATCATTGCGTGTTTTAACACGCGCTCAGGAGGAGGAGGAGGAGAACGTGGGGTTAATTTGATTTCTCACCACCCCCGAAGGTTTTTATAGAATGATTTCCCAACGTTGTGGGGAAGCCGCCCAAAATTTTGCATAGCTATAGGCAAATAAATGGCGAATGTTTTGAAGGAAAAGATTGGACGTACCTTACAAGGTCGCTGACCAATGACAGGTCAAATTCAGGCCATGGCTATCAGCGAAGGCAATTCATTAGAAATCGTTCAATCTGAAACGACAACTAAATGCTCGACAAAGCCATGCATCTTTGAGATAGTTTCTTAAACAATAAGCCAGCCGCATTTAAGATTTCGGAAAACTACATTGACCTTGGGCACGGTCACAGGGTTAGGTTGAGGTGAAAGTCATACCAAGGTCAAATTAACCTGTTTTATTGAAGCGCTTGCTTAAAGGGGTGATTTTTGATGCTCATTTCGACTTCATTAATAACTGGGACGGCAGCAGACATATTCCTTTTATTTCGTTAAGGTCAGAGTAGGTCACCGCCCGAAAGTGCCACACATGGATCTTTTATTTTAAGGAACGTACCCCCAAGCGTAATCATTGGTGATTATTCAAATCCAAAATAAAACAATGCTTTAGGTTTTGGTCGTCATGACCTTCTAAAGGTCAAAAAAGGCCGCCGAACTGAAATCAACACCAATTATCTTTTGCTTAGAAACGGTATCTAGGTTCAAGGTGGTTGCGTGATGAGGCCTGGGGGCGCTCTAGGCACCAATCTTGAGGGTGACCTTAAGTGGCCTTATTTCACCGGAAGGTCGTGACCTAAGAACCTTAAGTTTTCACTCAAGTGAATGAACATACATAACAATCCGCTCTGTGAATTTAGTATTGTGGCACGTTAACCTTTCGCCACCAAATTCTGCCGTTTAATTGGAATTGGGCGATCGGATGGCAGGAGTCAAGGCTCACACAACAAGCACTGCTTAGCGTGAGTTCTGATCCCAGAAATCCATCCATTCAAAAGGTTCGGATAAAATATTTTTTAGAAAATAAGCCGACCAGCCGGGCGCGTGTTCATGACCAAACGACCACACACGCCCCCGCCGTCCGCGTGCCGACACGGACCCACTGTGACCCCGCTACGTCTTCGCCGACCGCTGTGACCCTACGGTCCCGCTGACCCGTTATAACCTAGCCGATCCACTGCGACCCCGCTAACCCGCTGTGCCCCTGCCGCCAGAGCCGGAGCGGAGCGAGGCGGCCGCCGTGTCAGCCATGTCGCGCATGTTCCCGGCGGCCGCGCAGCAGTACGTCCCGCCGGCGCCCGGCACCCAGCCGTACCCGAGCGCTGCCTACTACGGGCCCCTCTTCACGACATACCCGTACAAGGCGCGCTCGCCGCCAGTACTCGCGGCCCGGCGGCCGGGCGCCGCTGTACGCCGGCGGCGGCGCGGCCGGCTACGGCGGCGGCGCGCCCGGCGTGCCCGGCCTGTACCGCAGCGGGGCGGCGGCCAGCGCCGCGCCGCCGCCGCTGCCGCCGCCGCACAGCGCCACCTATGAGTACGGCGCCAGGTGAAGATCGCATTATGCTGTCGCCCGCCTGAAAAACGAGGCGCGAGAAACGCCGATGGTGCCAGCCCGACAACTGTTGAAAATTGCCGGGGAAAATAAATACGTCCGCGATTAATGAGCGGGGGAGTATTTATTCATGGCACCCGGCATAAAGGGTGGGTGGGCAGTGGCAGCTCCTGCTTTCGTCGGCAGCGGACAGGACAATGGCGGGAGAGAACACTCGTGAGCGCTTGATGTCGCCGAGTGCCCGGATGATTTGTATTCTTATATACGTTCGTATGGCGACTGTTGGCCGGTTGTCGGCCGGAGCGCGCTTGTGATTGGCTCGGTGGTCGCTTGGAGCCCACGAGACTGACGAAGGTCCGTCAGTCTTCGCTGGCACCTCTGTTACTTGATTGTTCGGCCGGTGTGTACGTGAAGTCCGTGAATAGTTCGTGCTGCGCGAGCAGAGGTATCGTGCAGTGCTGCGTTCGTAATGAAATAAAGTGCAATGAAGCCAGGGGCGTTGCTTGGAGTTAAGGTGCATTAGGTCACCTGTCACCACGTGCGGAACGCAGGGTTAATGTCAAATGATATTGACTGGATCGAGAGAAAGAACAACCAACTAATTTTTTTGGCAGTTTTTGAAAGTGCATGGTGGCTTAGATAAAACTTGACGCGTGTCTACGCCAACATGGGCAAGTGCAATTTTGTCGCATAATGGTGGTCGCGGTGGTCACACAACACAATCACCGACAGCGGGAGTCATCAATGATCTCTTACCATGATTTCCTAAGATGTTTTCCTGTGAATTACACTCCATTCCAAGCTTTTCACAAAAAGGCCGCTGGTATTGACTTGAAATGGCAAAATAAATTCCTTCGCAGGAGGCCAATTTCGAACCTACGAGATATTAAAAAAGTTCTTTCTTTCGGCATCAAGGAAGCAAATACAAGTACCGAAATGCGGGAACAAACCAGGTTTTGGTTAGGTCAACTTTTTCGGTTGAGCCCTCCCCCAACGATTTTAGAAGGCATCACTGGCAGAAGGTACGGCGCCTCAAACACAGAAGGCTCAGTTCAGCTGTTTATTTAGTACGCATGCCAGGAACACATGCATGAAGAGGCTCCTCATGGGCGAATGGGAAGGCTTTCTTGAGCGTCGATACACAACATGAACAGGCATGTTCCGTTGACGATCGCGAAATTTTGTAAAGCATTTTTCGATATAACATAGAAGCTGCATGGAAACCCTTCAGTGGGCCAATACGTTCAAATGTGTTATCTCAGTGGTAACCGTAGTCCACATTCAACAGCCATTAAACACTTCAGGGTGCCGGTTCTTTTCTGAAAGATAAAAAACCAGCAGAACGCATCACATGAAATGGAAAATATGTTTCGTTACAAATACGCAGATATAACAAACGCTCTCTGTACTTGCTGGAATTTTTTGGTTTAACAGCCCATTTAACACCTCAGATCATTTAGCGTCGGCTCTCTTACGCTGGTTGCCACGGTGATGACGCAACTCTTGGCCGAAGGTCAGACCCGGATTCCGCGACGTTCCGCGCGCGATAATGAGACAACGCTCTCCCAACTGAGCTACGCGATCCGTAAGCCCGGCGTTCATTCAACGCATCCGGAATCTTCCTACTACGGTGTCCTTTCACAACGTACCCCTACAGGCCATGCTTGATGGGTCAGACAATGTACCGCCCTGTATAAAACATCTTAAAAACTGCGTCCTCTGAAGAAAAAGGGAAGGGGATGCTTCACATGTGTGTGGTTTTGATCCGGGACAACCGGTATGTAGCCCACAAAGAAATGTTCACGGTAATGGCCTTTCGATGCCCGAAACGTCCCAGTTCCTGGGCTTAGGTGTTATTAATCGATACATCGCTTAATACCCGGACAGTGTCACGTGGTCGGATAATGTCACGTGACCACGCTACCACAAATCACAACACCAACGGACAACCACTTGGCCGCCAGCCGCCGCTGCCGCTCGGTAACTGGATGGGCGTGACACCGTGGCAGTGTAACGCAACGGACCAAACCTTTGCTTTCGAGTAATTATGACATTTACAGTAACATTTTTACACGGCAAATAGCACAAAGGCGCCCAGTCTGCGCAGCTGGGTCATAATTTTCTTTTTCCGGAAGAACCTTAAGTGAAATATTTATTTTCATTACTCGAACTGATAGAGATACTGGCTTCCACAGGGATTTCTCCCTCATCGCATCGCTCCGTGGAGTGATCATTATTAGGGTGACAGGTAACAATAAGCGGACGGAATGTGTAGTACTGTGTACACTGTTAAGTTCACACCATCAGGATCAATCATCAATCAACACAGCGATGCGCTACCAACGTCAATCTGTGCACTTCGGGTGGAGCCGTCTGTCAACGACGCCGAACTTGATTAGACAGACGCGAATAGCCACACTCTGAAAATAGCAGCTGCACGCACGGGCGGATCTGGCCGAGTTTAGCGTAGCTATGGCCGGGAGCTCAGCACCGATCCACACTGATTTCAATCAGCCCCCATTCCAGCAAGACTTCAGTGTTTCACCATCGGTCCAATTGTGCATTGGTTCTTGCTGCTCGGTGCAGGGAGATCACTTACAGAATAACCCAGTACCCTGATGTGCTGTACCACTGTGCCCTGCTCCCTGCGCGGCTCAGGGACCATCTCCTGTCCCGCCAGCGATCTGTGTCCCGCATGACCCTTTGTCCGGTCAGCAATCGGTCTCCTAGGTGATCCAGTGACCGTGTGCGCACCCTCGCAGTGACCTGCGTGAGCGATTAACCAGTGACCCTGCCGTCGATTGATCCGTGCCGTCCCACCCACCCCTCGGCCGAGGCCACTCTCACGGGCCTACTCCATTATTGACACCGTTGTGCCCAGTCGCCCAGCACCCGGCGCTCGGGACGCCGTGGGAGGGTCCGGCGAGGTGCCCCTGGCAGCCACCAGGCAGCCCAGCACCCCCGCACGGCAAGGCGGCCCACACCGACGCGTGGTGAGTATCTCCACTGGTGTCCATCACAAGCAAGAACTTTTCGCTCAAGCACACTCAATTTCTGTTTCTGTTGTCCAAGAAAGGAATCTTACAAAATTGTGGCGTATTCTAGAGCTTTTTTAACGCCATCTGGAACACATTTCCAGTGCACTGTATTAGGGACTATTGTAACGCTCAGTTTTCCCTACAGCATGTTTTCACCAACACTACTACACAAATCCTAACAATTATTTCGTTTCGCTAAGTTCAGATCGATTGCTCTGAATTTCGATGTGCAGAAAGTGAGTTGTCCGCACGCGGCGATGGTCGTCGCCGATGGTCGACTTCGTGGTCGTCAATGACACCCAAGGTAAGATCAAACAAGGATATCACACGAAATTATCAACAAACGATTACGTCATTGAAAAATTCGCCTCATGTATGTCGTATTTTTTACATTTTGTTAAATCGTGGCAGCGCGTGAATACGCACAACACAAATACGATTTGCTCGCAATTGACCAAGTTCAATGTATGTTCAATGTTCATTCATGAGAATAAAAGGAAAGATGGCTTTCACCCAACTTTCTCTCCTCCAGAAATGAGAGGAGGTCAAACGCAACTGGGACTAAGATTCTAAAACGTTTAAAAACAGCTGTGCTTTGCCGGGTTGGTGGCTTTGGAAGTTTAGCAATGAATTAGGGCATTGTGAACGGACGGCAGAATTTAAAACAATCGGAAGATGAAACCAAAAGCATGTAGGACGAAAGGACCTTTGCTAACCATACATGGTATACGCCGTTCACCAATATCATCTCGAATTCAGTGCTAACTGAAGTCAAGGGGCCAGGGTGCAGGGGGATGATAAGGGGGAAATTGAAACGGCAAAAAAATTGAGAAAAATTGAGCGTGGCCGACAACCGCATTCTGTGATAAAGTGGCAAAAAGCTGCCACAGTGAGGGCTCGTCGTTGTCCAGGGTATTGGTAAACTGAGAGGTGGTGGCACATTTGTGAAAACTACATCGACCTCACATTAATATGGACCTCTCGGTGCTAGTCTGGCATGCCATGACCTGCTTAGTACATCAACGAAGGAGGACAGACAGCAAGGGTGCCCATAATCATGACTAAAACGCAGGCCGTACGACGTATGTTTCACGATTTCATGCCGTGGTCAACGCACGTCTGGGAATCTTGCCCAGTTGCAGACTGGAGGCCAAAGGGAGGGAGAAAACAACAGCTCCTTAATGCGCACATATCTGCCAAATTTTCCGAAATCCCGATCATGAAACGTAACGTACATTTTGTGAGCTCTCTCGAACCGACTCTAAGACGGCTCGATTCAGGCCCTTTCACCTCAACTAGCTTCAAGGTTAGGTCGTTGGGAGTTGTGCTTCTTTGAAATTAAGAGCACGGGGTCGAGAGATTTTCGCGCATTTGCCAGCATCGCCATGCGCTGCGGCAGTTTCTTAACTGGAATGGATAGTGTATAAGTGCCGATGACATCCCTGATGTCATTGGCGTTTCATTTGTATTGGCTGATGCATCGTTCGCCCACCTTTCACACGATTTACGGCATAGCGTCGTATAAGCGGACTTAAAAATCTGAGTTGCAAGTCTAATCAGCTGTACTCATTTTGTTTCCAAATTCAGCGCCTAATTGATGTTGCCATTCATCCATCCATGAACAGCGTGCGGGTCCGGGTCACAACCTACGGCAAGTCCAAGCTCAATACGGCACGTTTTGTGAGAATCATAATAATACAGTGACATCATCACAACCAAAAGATGATAAGTCCAATGCATCATCTCTTACGTTAACATCGGAGCAGAGAGATGAGGATAATCATGTCCATTTGTGCCATTGCCAATCTCTGGCAGATCGAGGCCACCAAACATAGCTAGCGAGAAATGCCAAGCCCATCCTCACTCTGATTTAGCTAAGCAATGGATGTGTGATGACCCGATGACTTTCGCTCTTCGTTTCAATAAATGCATGTCGCCGAAATATCACTGCATCTATATCTCCATCCTCCTGGTTTTTCTCCGAGAAATACAATAATAAAAAATATGTCCTTTCTGTATAAATAAATGTTTCTCACGAATGTACTTAACAACTTACGTCGATGGTAACTTGACTTACTTCCGCCCGAATATCACATATTTATGCGCATTATAATGATTATTTTATTTTGGTTGCGTAAATTAGACGCACATTTCATAACATAAATATTTTTTTCTCACAAATCCCATGAAACATCTATTTAACCTCGTCTGCCTTACGATTTCATTAGTAAACTTAAGGTCAGAAAGTAGCTTGATATATATCAAATGGCTTTTGTTGGCAAATTGCCAAGAAAATAATTAAAGCAGAAGCCCGTTACGCAACAGTGACCAAGAACATTATGTATTATAATAATTTCAAACGCCCCAAGCGTATTGGAAGGGGTCCTTTAAATCGTGAATATTTGTGGGATTTATTCCTTAAACAACGGGAGTGAAAAAGGCTCTTCATCAGTGACGCACACGCAATCTTACATTCCCTTTTTTGGCGAATATCTTATGCTAGCCAAGTCAGGTCTTCTTCTGCTGGCGCTTCTAGCTTTTGTCTGTATCCTATCACAACTGCCCTCGCCTCGCCGGCTTCCTCATTCATTTTGCCGCCAGCAGTCGTGCAAAATGCCCCCACATGCGCTGATGGTGATGCATGACGAAAACAAACATTTTCTTCCGATTTAAGCCTTGCTTCAAATACCACATGCAATCAGTAAATTCTACATCTCTGGCACGCGAGTGGAGTCACATGCATGCCAACAACCCTACTTTTAAAAGCTGCCAGTAAAAGCATTATTATTATATTATATTATATTATATATTATCTTATGTTATTTTATACATATATATATATATATACATTATGTTATGTGTTACGTTATGCGACGACTAACGTGCCTTAGAGGACCCATGTCAGATGCAAGCTTGGACTAAACATTGCCTTTTTGGCGGTCATGGCGGTGTTTCACTACTGTCGAAACAGACATCGGAGCGATGATTTCGGTTTTGGGTCTGTGGGAAATGGTACTCCTAGTTGTTGAAAATAGCATCAGCTTCGTTACTGATTGCCTTCGTAACGACATGTGATGATGTAGCTAAGAAATTATGACAAGTATCTTACAAGGGAATTACCATGAAATGACAACCACCGCGGACGCACGCTCCGAAGTCCAAACCCTCTGTTCACGAGGAATCACGTGATCTCATTTAAAACAACTTCAAAGTTCCTTCCCTATAAGTGTGCGCACAGTCCGCAGCCGGCGAGAGAGCTCATCGTGTTTCCAAACTAGGTATGCTTATGCAAGCAACCGAGCCGCCCAGATGGGAATTGGCCGTGCCCCGTTTAAACCCATAGACTCTAGTCTTATCAGGCCCGTCCTATGAGCAGGGCGGGCCTTCGACCGGGGCGGGCCCGTCCTCCGACCGGGGCGGCTGATGCTACACGTGGGGCGGTGATACGCTGCAGTACGGACCAGGCACCAGCGCGTCCACGGCGCCATTCGTCAACCACGGCCGACGAGGCTGACCTCTCGCGTCCCGGAGCTGCCAGATCAAAGCCAGCGATGTCCCCCGGCTGTTTGCTGTTGAAGCGATAAGGTGGTCGGCCAGCGGCCGCGGCGTCCCCGACTAACGAGCTGCCGGGTGAGCCGCAGCCCTCCGGAGGTCGCCACGGCCGCGGCACTGCACGCCCCAGCCACCGGGACGCGCGAACCAAGATGGCCGCCGCGCCGTCAGGCAGCGCCAGTCAGCTGGCCTCAGGTGAGCGTGGCGCTCTCGCCGCAGCCGTCTTGAAGTGACGCGCTCGAAGGCGGTCGTGCCGATGCTTATGGAGCCCCGCGAACGTCCCGGGCCGAGCGAAACAGTGTTAGGGGTGCCGAGTACGACGCTAGGGCAGATTTGGCAGCTCAGCTCCTATTAAAGTTTTTATTAGAATCGGTACCTTATTCGCATTTGGTCATCTTAAAATGCTCTTTCTGAAAGCTTTAGGTGCCACATTATCTTTTCAACAATATCCAGCCGTGAACAGTGCGTTGTTCTACTAGTCAAGACCGGTCCCACAAAGACAAAACCTCCGCACAAAACCTCCGCCGTTTCAAAACCATCGGCTTGCCTGCCCTTTTGGTGTCGGGCTGCAACCGTACTGCCTGTGCCGAGGAGAAGTGAAGTGACTGTCGGTGCGGGCAAAATGCGTACATTCACCCCTTCTCATGAAACATGCATTTATATTACTACCAGCGAGATCAAGTTGTTCAGGCTAACCGCCAATGGTTGTATCCCTAAGCCTGCAGGCCGGTTTCCGAAAATGAAACCAAATAAAAAATGTCGAGAAAAAATAGTCGACCGACAAAAAGTCGACAGGGATGCAAGTCGACTGTGACCAAACTTAGATCCGGAAATAAAAGTCGCAGGAAAGGATTTAAGAGGGATAAAAATCGACAGGAATGAATTCGAATCGAAAAAGTCCGGAACAAATTGTCAACGGGAAAGTGGAGAGAATCCTAGCTAGAAAGAATCCAATAAGAAAAAATTCCAAGGACAAAACGTCGCCAACTAAGTGCAAAACGTCGGCGGTGGTGAGTGCTTACGATGGCATACTCTTTATCATAAGCACAGCTTGAAACACCGAGTCCTGACAATGCAATTCATGTTTGCCCTTCAGCGTTGCTCAACCAGACGTCCCGGCATATTAAGGCCAACAACACAGCAAAAGTGCTCTGAACTCATCATGTCGAATACAGGGGTGTGGCCACTTACTTAGCTTCAAAAGGGTGAAGGCTCAGACCATACTATACTTCTAGCTCGGTTGAGCTAGAGCTAGAGGCAAAGTTAAAAGCAAAGCGAGCTAAGAACCCACGAAATCGTATGTTTTGGATTGCGGTCTTTTCGAGAGCAGACAGATAACTGCAGGCTGCTCTTAGCCTTAGCACTTAACAATACTAAATAGTTGAATGCACCATGTCCGTGCTTCTGACGTAAATTAAACGCAGCATTGGCCTTGGCATAATCCAGTACACACCTAAACAAGTTTCTAAATATTGCAGCTCCGTCCGGTTTCGCCTGGTTCCGTCTGATCCGGTCCGCACCCGTCTGGTTCCTTTCGACCAAGTCCAGTGATGTCCGAACCTGTCTGATCACGTCCGACCACGTGTGGTCCCATCTGGTGCCATCCAGTTGGTCCAGTTGCGTTTTATCTGGTCACATTTAGTCTAACACGGTTCCATCAAATCCGGCCCCACCTCTTCTGTTCTCGTCCGGTCCTTCCTGGTGTGCCTTGATCCCGCACGGTCCGGCCCGTTTCCGTCTCCCCCTATCAAGTCCCATCCAAACCCATCCAGTATTTCTAGTGGCGATAGCCCTGTCCCCCTCTCACGCCACTCGTCAAATCATGATAAGTTTTCTGTTTTAAATAATTTTAGCTGCCTGTGTTTTCAGTTATCCGAGTTGCACAGTATCCCTGTGGATGTTCGCTTTTGTTTTTCGACCAATTCCGTTTCAAATGTTTTATCTTTTACCTTTTTTTTCTTATTCGACCTGTATCGAGGTCAACCGTGATCGCTGTCGTATTTTTCCTCCGGCATTTTCGGATTCAGATTTTTTTCCATGCCGACCTCTCTCCCTTTCGGCTTTTTGTCTTCCAGTATTTGTTCGCTTCAGCTTTTATCACTGTGGACTTTTTCATCCTTGTGGACTTTTATCCCTTTCGGACTTGTTCGTTTTGTTTCTTTCAATCGACTTTTTCCGTTTTACTGTATCCTTACCATCTCTTTCACTGAGCTGTTTCCATTCAACTTTTCTATTAGACTTTTTGCACTCTACTTTTTACTTTTTGTAGGCCGTTATCTCACTTGACCTATCAAAGGTGCGCGACCTATATATGGCCCCTGAACTAGGCATCGCTTACGTTAGAGTCATTTTATAGTCACATGATCAAAGCTGGATCTGTCGTCAATTTTCCCTCGCCATGAGTGACAAAACTTGCCTCGAGCAATTCACGGTGACTGCGCGACGTCACCGGAAAGAGAGCAACGAAAGAGTCCTGGAACCGATCACCAAACTGGACGCCCTCCGGTCAAACGGTGGCGGTCCCATCGCTGAGCCGGGACTGCTGGAGGTGAGCTCACCCCGCGTCCCGCACCGTTAGTGACCCCCCTTTCGGCGGTGCGGCGTGCGGCAGCCGTGGCGCTGGCGGCGCTGCTGGCGCTGGCTCGCTGCGACCCGGCGAGCTGGACGCCGGACCAGTGCCAGTGCGAGGCCGACCCGGACATCGCAGCGCTCTGCACCAAGGCCACCTTCTACCCGCCCGGCATCGTCGAGGACGCCTGGGAGAGCATCGGCGACCAGTATGTGACCATCGTGAGTGTGTGGCCGGTGGCGGCGGGCGCGGCGGGGGCCGAGCGCCGTGTGGCGCGCGCCAGGTGGTCCATGTTGTCAGCGGGCTTCGGCGGCGGCCCGGCTGCAGCAGGCGCGCGCTCACGGGTTCGTGCTGTCGGCGGCACTCAGGGACAGATGGGTTGTATGCACAGTGAGAACGAGGGCGTTGTCTTCGGTTGCAAGTGTTGGCGGCTGTGAGCGGCCAGCCGTCGATGTCACACGTCGTTTGATGGTAAATATCGTGTGCAGTGTTTACCAGCCGCCCGGCACGGAGCAATGAAGCGGGCCATCCTCAGTGGCATGGCATACCGTGACTTGGATTTGATCCAGCGACGAGTAGAACTGTCCAACGCCGCGCCACCAGAAAAGTCCTGCTCTGGTGTCGTACGGTGTATGTGCTCGTATACGTCCGGTTCGGTGCCCGGCGGCATCAGGAGGCGTCTGTGTCCCAGACCCCGCGCCCGGCTGAGGGCCTCCGCGTGCCCCGCAGCTGGACGACGGCTCGCTGACGGAGGAGCAGCGGACGGAGCGGTACCGCCCGCTTATCAGCCAAACCGGTCTGCCGGCGGCCAACTTCACCGTGTTCGCCACCAAGTACGCCGCGTTCAAGCGGCTGCCGACGGCCGAACAGATGCGCGCCCGCTCCAGCTACTGCTCCGTCTCCAACGGTGACCTCGGCCTCATGCCCTGCCTGTGCCGAGGAGGTGAGCGGTCCCGTGACCTGTCAGTGTCACTGAGATGAGCGGTCCCGTGACCTGTTAGTGTTACTGAGGCGAACGGTCCCGTGACCTGTCAGTGTTACTGAGGTGAGCGGTCCCGTGACCTGTCAGTGTCACTGAGGTGAGCGGTCCCGTGACCTGTCAGTGTCACTGAGGTGAGCGGTCCCGTGACCTGTCATTGTCACTGAGGTGAGCGGTCCCGTGACCTGTCAGTGCCACTAAGGTGAGCGGTCCCGTGACCTGTCATTGTCACTGAGGTGAGCGGTCCCGTGACCTGTCAGTGTCACTGAGGTGAGCGGGCCCGTGACCTGTCATTGTCACTGAGGTGAGCGGTCCCGTGACCTGTCAGTGTCACTGAGGTGAGCGGTCCCGTGACCTGTCAGTGTTACTGAGTTGAGCGGTCCCGTGACATGTCACTGTTACTGAGGTGAACGGTCCCGTGACCTGTCAGTGTTACTGAGGATAACCTGATCCGGGACGTAAAACTTCAGATGTCGGGACGTGTCACCATGAGAGGTAATCGGTCTGACGCGTCCGCCGTTGATTCCCGGCGGTGATTGGCCTCTTGAGTCGTGCGATGCTGCTAGGTATGGCTCAGGGGAAGTGAGCGGATGATGCCTTGCCAGTGCTGTCGGATGAAGCGCTTTCAGTGGAGTGCACTTCTCAAGAGCAAGTACTCCATCGAAGTGCAGATTTTGTAAATTCATCTCTTTAAACATGCAAGTGATAGCATCGGCTGTTCCTGATTGTTGTTTCCTACTGTGGTCTGTTTCTGCACAGGTGGCGTTGCGGAGCTGTCACTGAGCATCGTTGAGCCAGTGCCCATACAGTTCTTGACGGAGGAAGATGTTGCCAAGGCGAAAGTAGTGCAAGTGGTAAGTAATAATTAGAATTGCTGAAGGAGCGATCTGAGCAAGACATTATGGCTAGGCTCCTACAACAAAGGGAAATGAAGGTTTCTTTCCATGCTTCCCTCACAATTCCACAATGTCAGTCGGAGGGAAATTGCGTTGGTCGTCAATGCAACGCAATTTGCTTCCGATGCGGCGAGATGCATGACCTAGGCTAAATGCAAACAGCTTCATCTGCCGTGGAGCTGTCGGGCCCGACATGCTGCTTGGGGGATAAGGGTGTGTGCACATATTCAACATTTCGCCTTCATGCACCACGCATAGCGCCGTCGAATTTCTCCATGGTCGAGGCTGTGCCAGCAGCGCCTTGGAGCCCCCAGCTCTCGCCTTCGGTGCCAGGTCAGCGGGCCGTGAACTCTGTGGCGACTGGCGTCTGCCCCGCCGCGGTCTCACGTCGCGTCCACGGCAGAGCTGAAGGCCTGATAGCGTCCGGCTCGGCCTCCAGCTGCAGGAGAAGCTGTCGGAGACCCTGGGCCTCTGGTACACGGGCGTGGCCGTCGGCAGCCACTCCAACGGCCAGAGTGGCGACACCGTGGCCACCGTGCACGTCACCTTCTCGACCCTGGAGAGCGCCAAAATCGAGCAGGTGATTCACAGGTCGCACGGTCCTCTGAGGTTCCATCAGGACATTAGGTACTCCTGATCTGAGGGATGCCTTGCGTCAGGACGTGCCGCTCAGCAGGCGGTTGTGGATACAGTTCTGCGCGCCGGTTGCGCATCAATCGGGTCAGCCCAGATCGCAGAGCAGCTCCAGTAAGGGCTCAAGGATGCAGACCGTGCAATTTGAGGGCACACCTATCACACAGGCAGCTTCAAGAGGACGAGATCGCAGCGAAGAGCTTGGCTATTTGGAAATGACGACAAATTAAAAAAAACCTATAGGTCGCAATAACACAACGCGCCACTTTAAAAAGGTGAAGGTCGTAATAATGCAGCGTGACACCTTAAGGGGAATGTTTTACATCGAAATATATTTAGGCAGGCATCATATATGGTGGGGTAAACTCACTTTTAGCTGCTAATTTACTTTTAAGTGGAAAAGACTGCTCCAGATAGCACAATTTTTCAATTTCGTAAATATGCTCCTCAATGCGTTATTGCTTGATTGCGCCACCTACCGTGTGTGTGACGTTAAGGTGCTGCCCAACTATAAGTATGAAGCTGCCACCCTAGCGCTCATTTTTAATACTTCAATCTCCCGGGAGGTGGCCGTGGCGGTGCTGGAGATGTTTGCTGAACCAAATATCGTTGCGTGCTCGCGTTTTTGGCCTTTCTCGTGGTGTTCTTGCGTATTATTCCGCGAGTTTAATGCGTTTACTTGTATTCACAGGATGTATTCTCACAACATTCGATTATTACAATTTTATTTTCCGTAATCACGCGGACCCATGTCCAATTTCTTGCACTATGTAACACAAAACATGGTCCATGATTGAAACCTGTACAGCCTGCACGACATGGATTGCTAGCCAAGCGATATCCGTTATAACTGGTAATCGAGCTCACGAACACCAGATATGAACGACTCAACAATTATATGTACATTCTCGGACTCGAACGACTCGACGATAGCTCGCTGGCTTTGGACGCCGCATGGCCAATGAGTGGCAATATTTTAATTACATTTCTATGGCGTTAAGCATGCCTGAATGACCTTGAAATAGTCGGCACGAAATAGCCTGCATATCCTCGTGGATGTGTAGTTTAAAAGCTTAAGGGTTTTTGATCTTCAGAAAAGCAGGAAGAGCTGCGCCAAATGATCTGCAAGATGGCTATTTCAGTTCAAAATCTCACAGAAATGTAGGACAATTTCTTTAACCAAAGTTTAGTTTGTAATCATATATCTTCAGAACGGAGCACGAAAGCGAACCGTCGTTATTGGCTGGAATACATGGGTCGAGTAAAAATGACGTGCTCGTATGACTGTGTGCAGAGCCCAGACCCGATCTAATAACCGATAGCAGAACATTAAAGGGAATGTTTCACATTTGAAGATATTGAAGCGGGCATCAGAATGATGAAACAAGCTCAGCTAGAACTATTGGTATGCTTTTGAAGTGAAACAGACTGACCTGGGCGGCACAATCTTCTGTTAGTAAATATGGCTCTCAGTGCATCATGGCTTGATTACGTCATCGTGCTTTGCACAACATTCATTAGTTGATGACCAATTGACGGCCATTATATCTGTAAATCGCGCTCACGTACGCCAGATATGGATGTCTCGGCAATCACATTTTTTTTCTCGCCCGTAATCGCCGCATGGCTCATGAAATGGCAGGATTCAAATGTCATTTTATGGCGTCATGAATGCCAAGGTGACTTTAAAAAACTCTCACCGATATACCTTTCCCAATTTTCGCGAGCGCGTAGCTCAAAAACTAGAGGACTTGGGGTCTAAGAAAGGCAGGATTGTGAACAGCACCAGACGGTCTTCAAGATGGCTATTTCATTTCAAAACATCATATAAGTATGAAACACCCCCATTAAGCAGAAGTCTTGTGGTATATGCATAAATTCAAGCCAGGGGCAGAACAGGAGATTTACCTTCGAAGTCAGGTAGGGCAGGACGGACTGTGCCGTGCCTCGCGGCACTTTGAACTTTGCCACCAACTTCTGCCACTGACCTGAAATTGCCCGATCGGGTGGCATGGGTCAGGGCTCAGGAAGCAAGCACTGCTAAAGGACAGCTCAATTCCCAGAACTTTGTCCATTCAAAAAGCTTCAGATTATTTTTTTGAAATTGCATACTTTCATATGTTTGCATCGGTTCCAATCAGTAAACGCACATGCAGCGCATAACGGGACACTCCTGCAATATTCACAAAATCTTTCCATAGTCAAACGAGTTATGATGGCTCAATTTTTAACTTTGACCTCAGACCGACCTCGGCCAGTGCAGTGACGTGCTAGAAACATCACGATTTCTCCCCGCTTGCGAAAATAATACGGGAAAGATCAGAAAAAATCGCATCACTCTACTACGCTGGTTGTTTTCTTGCTAAGCCCCGAAAATATTATTGGCAAACATCATGCAATGGCCCAACATCTAATACACTAACATACAAAATGTTTCAAAGTGCACAATGAGCAGAAACGGCCCGCAAAATTGCAGCGTCTTATCTATTTGCATTCTAAAGCCACCACATAAATATGATGGTGGAAGTGATGATAGCTGTTGATGGTCATTGACCAGAGCGTACGAAAACAGCAGTCATACCAGGGAATCAGTCCTCGCACTGATATGAGGGGGGAGAGGGGCGTATGACTCCGCTCCCCCAAGGTTTTTTTGAAGGTAGCTCCCCGACACGTTGTGCATTCACGCTGATATCTTCCGTAGCCTATGAGGCATTTAATGCGCGTATTTTGAGACAAAAACGTGTCTCTAATGTTTGTTGTTTCGGAGCAGCGGCGGTTTTTTTTCTCGGATCACTGCACGGCGATATGCGGCCTGCGCAGGCAGCAGGCAGCAGCCGACGATGCCGCGGGTCGAGCGTGGCGAGCCGCCATTGTTGCTTGAATGCGGCCATACATCCTAAACGCATCGTCAACACATACAAATATATACCATGGGACTCAAGGGTGATAGAGGAACATGTCTACTGAAGTTTCGTGTTGCTACGAGACATGACCCTCGTATATATGAACTTGTAAACTTGAAAAGTACGATTTTCGGGGAAATGTTTCCTTTGATATGGCATAATGGGGCCAATCATTGATAGAGCAACATACAATTGATCAGCAGTAGCGGGGCCAATCCATGGTACGTTTGCTAAGCTCTAGCTTTATCATATTGGAAACAGCAAGAGGGTCGTATAGGCCCTTATCAGTCCGCGTTATGAAAAAAACGGCGTATCAGGACGAGGGTTAAGGATATTGTAGTGTAGTACGCGCGCTACACTTCAATGAGTTCTCACATTTCCCTTAAAAAATGCTTGATATTCATACGTTACACACACGTGCTGCTCCAATCACCAATTGATCCGGCTTTCAACTCTAAGCACGAAAGACAATGAATGTGAGCGACCAGTATAGAGGAATATCGCCGCGAGATCGTTGGGAGCACTAGTAGCATTGTGCTAGCTAGCTAGCTATGTAATCTGGCCGATAGGAGTGAACTTTTGTTGTTAATATTGGGTGAATAGAGTGAATTGTTAATATTGGAAATAGGACCTCTTAGTGATAATCTGTGCGATGAACATATTTCTTTTTGCAAGAATGCTGTTGTATAGGGCGACTGTCTCCTCCTGTCCGACGATACAGCGAAGCGCGTCTCCCCGCCCCCCTGCCGGAGCCGCCACCATGCAAGGTGCATTATGCTTAATGGTATTGCCATCGTTAGCAATCGAATGTAACCTGTTTGGCAACGAAACCATTGAAGAGCTTATTGAGGTAGGCGAAAAATGTAGGTCGAGGGTGCTTTTCAGGGGGGGGGGGGAGGGGGACCTGGATGACCGCGATAGTGTGGTTTAAGCGCAGCCGGCCCAAATTGGTATGCTTTTTTACGTGTGTGGTGCGCGATTGCCCGTTTGAACGAACAAGGTTTAACAGATGAGCAGGAGTGCAGAGTCGAGTTTAAGCAATCAACCAAACCATTTAAGGGGCGAAAAGTGTCTGTTCCTAATTCCATGCCAAATTTGGCCTACTGCACATGTACAGTGCAAGAAGTATGCAGCAGCCTACAACAATGGCGGTTCGAAGGTAAACACACTACAGCTCGTTCTGCGTTTCACTTAACGAGATCTCCTTCATATTCCCAACAATTCCTTTTCTCGGAGAAACATTTCCAGCTCGTGGCAAAGCGCTCTTCGCACTCTTTTAAGACGCCCACACTGATCACCAGTCTTCGCCTGATCTGTTCTTCCAGTTACCAGCGTGCCTGTTGAAACGGTTCTGCCAGTTCAGTTGCTTTATTAGATGAAGCTGCTTCCTGTGAGAATACATTTGAATATTGACCCTGGGCTCCCGTCCGCTGGTGTCAGGTCAAGGCATCGAAATCAAGCCGTATCTTTACGTCTCGCACCACGCTCGATGTATGATAAAAAGAGTCATTTTTGCCAGTTATAACTCGCCGCTTTGATTACAAGTTTTGCGATACATTGCAACCCATTCTAAGCTTTTCACATAATTGCAGCTTCACGTCGACTCGCAGCTGGCGTGCAAATGCAAATGCGATACAATGCAATGGGCAAATACAACTCAAGGATGCAAAGCGTTGCTATGTCCGTAGCCAACTGTTTTTGAAATAACAAAAAAAGGAGCATACCTTAGAAACCCCGGGAAGTTGAAGTGGTCTAAATTTGGGGGGCAAATAAGGTTTGGGAGCAGGCTATGTCAGCCCTGTCGGCTGCCCCCCCCCCCCCCCCTCCACCGTTTATACAAAGTAACACCGCTGGACATTGCGCAGTTTCTGCGCGGGTCTTGCTCGTCTCAAACTGAGCTGAATAAGCAATTCAAGCGCCTCATGCCAGCAGCTTTGTAAGAAATATATGACGCATGCTTTGCACTAGCCTTGAAACCATTAAGTGTTGTATCTTTGAGAAGCTTCTCATTAAACGACATTGCGAGCAAACCTGAAAGGTGAAACGCCCATCCTGTTTTTTGTCACAAGTTCTGATATAGATATCATGCTACTTTTTGATACTTTGTCCTAGTTATCACCAATTAGTATTCTTTGTACACGGCATCGTGCCGCCTGATATCTTAAAATAACTCTGAAGTTGAAGTCATACTACTATCCACATCTGTCGTCATCTCACCGGTCAGGAGCTGCATGCAGTAGATGCAGCTCGCAGACCTCACCGCGAGGTAATGTGTCCGACGCATGCGCAGAGGTTCCCGACTCTCCAAGCTCTTCTAGGCCAGGCGGGCGAGCTCACCCTGGCCGATGGATCCGGATCGCTCATCCTCGGGGCGTCCACGCTGGACTCGAAAGGTGAGCACCGCCTGCTCCTCCAGCACAACGGCAACCCCGGAAACATAAATACCACGCTCTTTTTAAACAAAGTTAAAACTGAGTGAAGACGACAGGCAGAGCCACGCACCAAGAGATCGCATGGGCGAGGCAGCGCCACCGACTCTTCAACGGAGCCAAGGAGGTATATGCTCATCCTAAGCAGATTGAGAGGTCTCCTACACAGACTCACATAAAGTCATTTCCCTCCGATTTCAACACTTGTCAAAAGAAACTCTTATGTATATCGAATTGAATACCTCTTGGCCTCCTGGACCCCCGATCTTTTTAACTGGAACATCCTCTTGGCTAGCAGGGCTCTGCGATTTCCATAGGAGTTCTCTGCGTCTGATGAGCCTCATTGCATTATCTCGGGCCTCCGACCGGCAAATAGGGCCTACGTCAGCTATCTAAAGTTTCCCTTGGAGCGGATGTCGTCTTCATGCCCTCTCGGTTGGGTGAAATGTTATATCCCGGATGATCTTCTGAGGCCTTCTGCCGGCACGATGGGTTTCCCGAAATTCTAAGAAGAAACAAACATTTACCTCCTTGGCAAATGGCAAGGGGAGGCTGCCCCTGGTGTCGCCGCCCATGCAGACGGATGCTCCATGGTCTGTCTTCCCGAGCGCTGTCCTGTCTTTTCCCTGCAAGTGGTGACCTGTGCTCCCTTTTGGGTGCCGACCAGACTGCGTGGTTCCGCTTGGGTAGGATCATCTGAGGTCGATCCAATAACAGATCTTGATCCGCATCCGAAACAGAATCAAGCTCTTCGTATGAGCATAGTTTATATATATATATATATATATATATATATATATATATATATATAGACATGTATACGTTTATAGTCTGTCCTTCGAACCGAGAAATTCTTGCGGTATTGACAACCCAAAGGAACCATCCCCACCTTTCGTAAGGTGCCATCTCCATTCTTCATAAGGTCCCATCCCCACCTTTCGCAAGGTTCCATCCTCACTTTTCGTCCACCAAGCGGGCATATGCTCTGCAAGTTTCCACGTTACATTCAATGTTCCACATGAGTCCCTCACCTCGGCATCCGTACATAACTTACGCCACGCATGTTGGCCGTGTACAAATGCCTTCCCCTGGTTATGCGCTGGGCGCTCTGGGCGAAACTTCGCTGCCTGGTTACGCCGTGTTAAGAGCAGTGTCCCTAAAAGATGCCGTCTGTTTGCCGTTAATTGAAAAAGACGAGAGAAACGAAGACGGACATGTTGCTTTTCAGGGGGCAAGCCAGCGGCATCCGCCTTCAAGGTTTTAAGACTTATTTTTTAAATTTTTTTGGAACGACGCCTGAGCGTAGCGCTATGCTGTGCAACCACTTCCTCACCCGGTTACGATTCGGTCACGGCCCATCAAAATCCCGCTCCTTCTCCATGTGTAACGAACGAGCATACGAGGCACGCTTTTTGCAACGTGATGTCAACGATGTGAGCGTTCCGATATTATGGTCGAATCGTTTCGTGAGTCAGCATTTTTAAATCGGAGACGAATCAATTTTGATCCTATGGCAGCTTGCATGAATATGTCCTGAATGCGTTTCAGCTGAATAACCTACGGAGTGAAATTAGTCCGCCTAAAGCAGAATCAATCCGGCGATCAGATCAGATTCTGCGGGGGGCGGGCACCAGTCTGGCATCGGATCCGATTCCGCGGAAGTCAGGCGCCAGTCTGGCATCGGATCCGATTCCGCGGGGGTCAGGCACCAGTCTGGCATTGGATCAGATACCTCGGAAGTCAGGCACAAGTCTGGCATCGGATACGATTCCGCGGGGATCAGGCACCAGTCTGGCATCGGATCCAATTCCGCAGGGGTCAGTTACTAGTCTGGCATCGGATCCGCTTCCGTGGGGGGGGGGGGGGCGGGCACCGGTCCGGCATCGGACCCGATTGCGCGCGGGTCAGACACCAGTCTGGCATTGGATCCGATACCGCGGAAGTCAGGCACCAGTCTGGCATCGGATCCGATTCCATGTAGTTCAGGCACCAGTTTTGCGCTGACCCGTCGCTTCTGCCTGCAGTGCCGTTTTGCAACGGCCCCGTGTCGCCACCAAGCGACCTGCCCGCCCAGGCGACCGCCAACTCCGACCAGAACGTGGTGGCCGGCGGCAGCGTATCCTTCACCTGTCCCGAGGGGCTCAAGTTTTCCAACGGCAAGCGGGTGGAGAGGCGCAACTGCGGCGTCAGTCAGCTCGTGGAACCGGCCACCGGCGGAGGCGAGCCGCTCACCTGTGTCGACGGTCAGTGCAACCCCCCCCCCCCCTCTCTCTCTCTCTCACCGCGAGGGCGCGGGTGCTTCGTCCGGCGACGACCAACACGTACATGCTGCCATCTATCGAGAAGATAGTGTGTGAACCGCCGCCTACCCAGGAGACGCGCGGTGGCAGCCTTCAGCGACGCGAGGGAAGACGACCTGGTCTGAACCCCGCGTTACGAGCTCAGACAGCCAGCTGCATGAGTGTTCGTCGCAACGGTGCAGGTGCGCGATATCTACCTCTCGATTGTTACGACGCCGATTTTTTAACTAGCGTAACCCACCGCACGTTTAACACCGCTTCGAGACCCCGACGCTCCTCTGCTCAAGTCTTCGCAATAGCCGCTATTATCCAAATGAACGTTGTTTTGCCCCAATTTGCAGAGTCTGTGACATCGGCGACAACTGCGGCCTCCACCCGTAAGTGCTCCCAGTCAATACTATCATTGTTATTATCATTATTGCCGTTTGGAGTCCGGGCAACGCAATATTGGGCGTGAGAAGAGCGTACACGCACACACACACACACACACACACATATATATATATATATATATATATATATATATATATATATACATATATATATGCAAGACATCGGTGTCTTCTGTTAGGCTCCGTTGACCTGAGCAACGTTGACGGCCGTAGCTGGCACCAGGCGGTGCGAAGAAGGCACATGAAAACAACCATTTGAAAATTGCGTAGGTAGCATATGCGGCCTGGGTTGATTTCCGCTCGTATGCTTAGTGTTCATGACAAATTGGTAAGTTTCATTTTCCGACAGGTGATGATAATTGGGATTTTAGGGCGAGCCGATTTCTGAGGTCATTTTGCGCCTAACATGTGGTCCCCGACAGGTGGTTTGTTTCACGGACCCACTGACCACTGCCACCATATAAATTAGGCATAAAGCGAAGACAATAGAGTCCCCTTCGAAAAAAGGCCAAATCCAGCGCGTGGAGGGGACTGAATCTCACCAGGCATGGACATTACGTCAACCCCAGTGCCGTCTTCTTGCAAGGCCCTGCCTCCGTCTCTGCTTGGATAGATAGTATAAACAGGTGACGACAATTTTTTCCGTGACCCGGGCAGCGCTGATTCACCCTTGAGTCCGTAAAGGCACACTTCTGTCGGACGTGCCGCCGTCCTGGTGTCGTATGAGCTGATATCACACGTAGTGAAAAGCGCCGGTGACTAATGTCATTCAAGTCCAGTCGAAGAGGATTTCGGGACCATGTTTCGAAATATCGCAGCGCTGGAACATTTCTTTGCAAAGGGGCTTGTTCGACATTAACATTGGGTTTCGACCTGGAGCTCTCAGATCGTACGTTACAAGGAGACCTGCGCGATGCCGTCTACATCATACTCTTAAGGTTTTTATTTCGATGTTTTAACTTGCCTACTTCTAAGGGCTCGAACTTCTGCGGCCGCCATACCACTGGTCACAAAATTGGAGCGGTGAACGTCACAGGTGGGCTCGACTGGTGGGCGTTTGGTATGAATGACATGTACGGCAAGGCACAGTCCATTATTTTCCTCTTGAAAATAATGGAGATTCCGGCGCTCTTTTCTTAGACACAAATGCCAAGATTACTGCCAGCGTATTTCGTATTGCGAACCCGAACTACATTCCGCGATGCAATATTTTTTTTTTTTTTGTCGACAACCGATTGAAGTCATGTCATGTGGATTGATACTTTGTTCGATGCTCGCACGATCGCATGAAGTTTTCGACGGCTAACCATAACTTACATTTCAGCGAATGGACGATCAACTCCATCCGCAGCCCAGGTACGTCACAATGCTGATCAGAACGTTTGTACAGGACATGGAAACACTTTCCACGGATTGTAGAAATAGCCTCCGCCAAGACGCAATATATGCCGTTTAAAGCTGAAGAAAGGGTTCACCGGACCTTTTGTAAACAGCGGACACGTAAAGAGAATTCTTAACATTCGAAGATATTGTGAACCAAGTCTCAGATATGATGAAACAAGTTCACTTCAACTTTTGAGACACTCTCTAGTAGAAAAGATTGCTCTGGACAGCACAATTGCTCTGTTTAGAGAATATGCTCCACGATACGACACTATTTGATTACATCATCATGCCTTGCACAACATTGATGAAAGGCCAAATGACGACCGTCAAGGCTATGTCGGCCCCGTGGAATCGCAGGGTTTTAATGACCTTTTTGCGACGTCATGAATGCCGAGATAACCCTGAGATAGTCTCCCCATTTTTGCGGGCGTGCAACTCAGAAAATAGAGGGGTTTTCTTTTTAAGACGAATGGGTTTGTTAACTGCGCCAAAATTCTTTAAGATGGTAATTTCAGTTCAATACCCCCGCCCCCTTCCGAATGCGGAACACTCCCTTTAACATGCTGCGGGTTGTAGCCCAGTAGCTCAGTTCCAACCTACGATAGAGCAAACATGCGCGTGGGAGGCTGCCTGTGGCGAGCAAAACTAATGATAGTTAACCATTTCACAACCAGATGTCGACACGTTCGACGACAGCGTACGTTCCTGACCAGTATGAAGAACTCGACGTGGACTGGAACGACGGTGAGAGCATAAAGAAGGTGGATCCGAACAAACCAAACTTGCTGCTTCGGATAACAATACCAGCAGCTTCCGGTAAGCATGCTGCCGCATGCAAAACGCTCCCGGCCATCATAAACCACCACTACTGTAGACGTGTCATGCGGGTCAAAGTAACCGGAACGATCTCCTGAAAGTAGTTAGGTCAGGGGTCTATTTTTCATGAAACATGCTATTTATGCGCAGCAACACTGCCATCATGCTCGTGTTTTTCACCCATGTCGAGCAACTGCCCACAAATACTGATAGCACGGAAAACGACGCCCCAGTGGTCGTTCTCAATGTCCTCGAGCACAAAGTGCCCCACGCCGCCGCTACATCGCTCAGTGACCCCGTGACCTCGCCCCATCACCGGCCTGAACCGCAACCCTCCTCCCACAGTGATCTTCTCGTTCCTCGTGTTGTACCTGCTGTGCACGCGGCCCGAGAGCTGTATGTGCAACACGTGCGGCGGCGGCAAGCTGGACGAGGTGCAGTAGAGGCCACCACCGCCACCAGCTGAGCTGCCGGCTTCGCGCCGGCCCGGGCCCATGGACTCGCCTGCCGGGCCGGCGCTGATCCGCGGCTGACGGGCGCGCCGGCGGCGACCACCCTGGAAACGCCTCCGCCGCCGCCGCGCCCCACCCCACCACCCATCTGACCAAAATACACTGCGTGCGATGCAGCGGGTTTTTGATGCCGCGGAACGCAGAATGGAACTTCGGCACCAGGCACAGGGGGCGGTGGCCGTTTGCGGCCATGGCTAACACGAGTCTGACAAATGCATCGAATGAAGGAACTATGCGTGGAAAGCGGACCTTCGTGACAAACATCCCGATTACAATCCGCGCGCACCCGCCGTCCGACACCCGTTCCTTTTTCTCGGGGGGGGGGGGGGGGGGGCAGCGGCCTTATATTGAGCGCAACCCGACCCACTGGTCGCATTAGCTCAGTGACCACGCCACTACAGGGATTCGAATCGGGATTCCCATGTCATGTCGGAGCTCGGGTCGCTAGGCCATTGTCCCACTACGAGTTAAAATAGCTCACGGGTTCCCAGGATCGACAAGGTGCCGCCAACTATGGGCTTCCCCTGTCACGCTCTCCGTTCCCAACGACGGAAGACAAGTGCAGCGCCTCGGAAGTTGTGACGGCAATGAACAGATCATCCCAAGTACTCCACACGCAATGTCGCGCGCAACCGTGGAACGACGCGCTTCCGCGGTACAACCACGGCCGCGGCAAGGCAACCCCGTTGACCCCCAGTGAAGCATTTCGTGCAAGTCTGGTTAATTTCCAACTCAGAAGTGCTAACAGATGGCCCCGCGCTTCGACCTCACAAATTGCGCGGATCACCATTGTGAATGTTGTCGAGCGCCGCAGCGTTACCTAGGACTAAATAACCGCACCAGGAAAACGGCGATCACAAATAAATTAACGCCGATTCATTCCTTTATTCGCGACGCCCGTGATCTCACAAACCACAATTCACTTTCTTTTATAATTCAAACAAACACAGTATTGATGAATGGACGTGTATTTCCTGAAACAACAGATAAATTCTATCAGAACCACACAATGGCAAAAATCACTAGAGCCCACTGGAGTGCTTTTATCGAGGTTCTCCTTCCCTCGGTGGCAAGGCGGCCTGCTTTTGGGCAAAGGAATGACAAGCAGTAGCAAACTAAGCAAAAATCTGAATTGATTCATAGCAACAACACACTTCAGTTCAGTTAGCCAGTATGACGGTGACCACAAAAGCAGGCGCACCGTGTTGCCCACCAGGCGGTGGGTGGATGGGATGCCAACCCCGACCAGTGTCGGCAGGTGGCGCACGCGTCCGGGCGCCGGACACGTGCGCCAAACCGGCCGCTCACCTATAGCGCGTGTTGCTACTCGCTGGGCACCTCCAGCTCGCCAGCATCGATCTTGGAGATGGCGTCCTGCGGGGCCATGCCGTCCACGGTGCAGCCAATGGAGGTGGCCGTGCCAAGGATCTCCTTCACCGTGCCAGAGAAGTCAACAGCCATCGACCGCTCGCGCATGATCCGTGCCGCCTCCACAATATCATCCATGGTGATGTTGCCATTGTGCTTCACTGCAAACCGGATATGGACACATGTGATCACAACAGTGCAGTCACATGGAGACTTGTAACAGTGGCAGAAGTGGCCAGCACAGCTGCCAGGGGTTCTGATAAGGAAAAACAACACAGTCATGATTCACATAAGTGACACTGTATGCATTGTGTTATTTTCAGTCTGCAAGATAGCAGAGCAGGCCTGACATACCATGCTTGACCTTCTTCCTGTCCCGTGGAGGCTCCTTGAGGGCCTTGATGACCAGAGCCGCAGCAGATGGCACTACAGCCACCTTTGCCTGACGGTTCTGGATGGTGAGCTGCACAGTGATCTTCAGACCCTTCCAGTCAGCAGTTGCCTTAGCAATATCATCTCCAATCTTCTTGGGGGACAGGCCAAGGGGGCCAACCTTGGGTGCAAGAGAGGATGTGGCACCAACCTCACCACCCACAGCCCTCAGCTTCACTGGAAGGACAAACAAGAGAGGTGTCATGATCCATATCATAGTTGCCCCTGCATGATCTATTTCAAGCTCCTTTATCTACTCAATCTGTGATTGAACTTAATAGTCATACAGAGCAATTCCTGATCAACAGATTTTTCAGCACACCTATGTGCTCTATGAAAACCATCAATAGCCAACACCTAGAGACATCACAATAATATACAATTAGGTTGCAACTGGCATACACAAGAATCCCCTCTATGTTATGGATACTATCCGGACAATGACTACCTTAGAACTCCAACACACATAATGTACATCAAGATCCATGAAAATCATTTGCAAAGAATATCTTACCAAGCTCTTGCAAACCAACACAAATGAACAAATTAAATGATCAGGCAAACTTTCTACGCATCATCACATCAACCTCCACGAGCAGGATGCGCCACATGAAGCAGGGGCTGAGCTATCAACCAAGTCATACAATCTGTGATGTGCCACACCAAAAACATACGTTTTTCTGCCCCCGGTAATTGTGAGCAGACAGCATGCTGTACTGACTTTAATGAGGCATGTTTTGCTTAAAATTACCAATGAAACCTTAAGTTTCTTGACACATTGACTTGCATTGAAATAAAGGTCACTGAACTCTAAGCGTGGAAACTCGGATCCAGTGAGCATTCGCTGAAATTTGTCGCAACAGCACCACCACGTCAGATATGTTCCGCATAACACACATCTTTCAGATTCTGGCCAGCAGCATAAATCACGATTAGATTCAAGTTATCGCCATGCCGACAGGTTCCAAGCAAGATAACACCTCGCACACACGCACCTCCCGATGCCTGCACACTCAACCATACCTATTTTAATCTCGTTGGGATCAAACTTAGGCGGCATGATGCAATATTTCGGCACAAGCCCCCGCTACCACACCACCACCACTCGTTCGCAGCGGAAAAGGAAAACCCACTCGTTGTCCACTCTGGAAATTCTGAAAAGTGGATATATGTTGTTAAATTTTAGAACTGGTCGTTGCTGCGTAACTTGGTATATTCCACATAGAAGATATCTATTTCGATTGCAAAATGTAAAATAAACACTCAAGCACGCAAATGTCAGCAAATAATTTTAACACATTCGTCAACTTTTCCTACTGGCTGCACATGAAAAGACGGCTTACATGTTGCACCACTAGATGACATTGACGTTGGGAGCGCCGACGCCAACACGGATGCCGGCAACAGCATCAGGAGGCATGCGCCTGTCTCCATGGTTTCAAACTGTTGCGTCAATTTGTCGCTTTCAGAGGGATGATTTGATCAGATTTGTCGCTTTCACCAATGAAATCCAGAAAAATGCCCTGGAGTGCTCACAAGTAGAAATGCGACTCGTGTCGTATTTCCACTTGTGATCTGGACTTCCGTCTACTTGTCTACTTTTGTTGCAATTGCTTCATGAGCAAAACATGTCAGAATCCGCTCTGTTATGTCATCTTGACTTTTGGCCAGGAGATGAAGCTTTTAAAGTTTAACGAAAGCAGATTTATCGAGGATCGATATGATATCCAATTGGTGGAGATTCTTTGGTAAACCAGTAAAAAGCAGGGCACCACATTTTTCGTAACCTGTGCATCTGACTTGACATGTATTTTTCCGATGTGGCGAAAGAACGCATCACAATCATCACTAGGATGACGTTTTTGTAGTTCTTTAGTGGATAGATGAATGTCATGGTACCACGTTTTGCATGACCTGGACCTTTGACCTGAGATGTAAGGTTTCGCAAATGTGCCGAGAGTAGAGACTGCAGACATTACTGAGTTATTACTTGTGTGGAATTCTACTGGAAAACGAAGAAATGCTAAGATACAGTGTTTTGTGTGACGTTGACCATTGACCTTAAAAATTATTACTGTAGGTGTGGCGTAAGCGAATATCATGGGCATCATTATGATGCCCATTTTATATTTTTATTAGTTTTTTTCAAAACAAGACGAACGCGGACGTTACCAGATCAAATATAGCACCCTTAATTTTATAGCTGCTTTATGAGCGCAGAAATATCACAGTGCCCGATCGCATGCGATCTTAACCTTTGGCATTGAGAGCTTTCGTACGCACGACGAAAGTGGGCATTACGAGAATGAATATGATGCCTGATTAGTGGTGTTAGTGGTGTTTCCCCTTTAAACAAATACACGCCGGGGTGCCGCGCTATGTGAGACTCTGATCCTTGATCTTAGTTTAATTTGTCCAGGTGTAACGAAAGCCTCTTGTATGTTTTTGGCAAGCGAATAAATGCCAAACTACTCCACTTTGTATGAACTTGATCTTTAATCTTCGAAATTCATTTCTTAGATGTGACAAAAGCAGACATCAAAACATTGCTACGATACCCATTCCGTTGCATTTCTTTGGTAAACAAACTGTAAACTTTGGCCAAAACTTTGTGGTAAATAACGAAGTGCCAGGCGCCGTGTGATGTGTGACCTAGTGCGATGACCCTGAAAACTGCGTTTCTAGACTGACGTAAGTGGGCACCACGACCGTCACCATGGTACCCATTTTGTTGTATTTCCTGTTAAACGAATGAATGCCGGAGCACTGCCTTCTGTGTGACGCTAGCCTTTTGACCTTAAAAACTATTTCTTACCAAAGTGATGGAAGTGGACGTCACGGACATGGCTTGATACCCTTACTGTTGTTTGTTTTTTTAGGTAAACGAATGAATATTGCTTTTTTAGGTAAACGAATAAATATTGGTGTGCCATTTTTTGTTATCTTCACTTTTGATCCTGAAAATTACTTTTTTGGGTATGACGACAGTGAGCATCACTTACGCAATGGCGATACCTATTCTGTTGTATTTGTCTGATGAACGAATGAATGACAGGGCACGGCGTCTTTTGTGACTCCGACCTTCCACCTCAAAAGTTAATTTATGTAAGACGAAAGCGGATAAGCTTGTTGGGATTGTTTCGTGAGCAAAAGTTAATAGAATATCATTTTTACGCGACCTCAGTCTTCGGCGTTGTTATTTTCGGCAGATGTAATGACATTTGAAAGGACGAGG